CATAGTATTATTAGTAGTAGTAATATTATGAGTAGTATTAGTAGAATTATTATTAGTATTATTTATTTTTCGTATTATGTGTATTAGGATTATTAGCATTATTAATAGTGTTAGTAGTAGTATTATTAGTAGTATGATTATTGCTAGTAGCATTATGATTAGTATTATTAATCGTATTAGCATTAGTATTATTATCAGTATTATTATTAGTATGATTCTTAGTATTATTAGTGATAATAATGATATTATTATTAATAATATTAGTAGTCTGTTTATGGTTCGTCTTCTTAGTCTTCTTACTCTCTTTAGTACTATTAGTCTTAATAGTAGTATTACTAATATTATTCTTAGTATTAGTAGTATCAATAGTATTAGCATTGTAAGTTTTATTATTAGTAGTCGTAGTATTACTAGCATTAATATCTTTATTAGTATTATTGTTCGTATACGTAATTGTGTTAGTATTACTAGTATTATTATTCGTATGCTCAGTCGTCTTCTTAGTAGTAGTCTTCTTAGTATTCGTAGCAGTAGTATCATTATTAGTATTCGTATTAGTGTTATTATTCGTCTTGTTCTTCTTAGTCATGGTATTATTAGTCTTCTTCTGATTAGGACTCCTCTTCTTCCTCCTCCTCCTCCTCCTCCTCCTCCTCCTCCTCCTCCTACTCCTCCTCCTCCTCCTCCTCCTCCTCCTCCTCCTCCGCCTCCTCCGCCCGCCCCGCCCGCCCGCCCGCCCGCCCCCGAGGCCCGCCCTCCTCCCTCCCTCCCTCCCACACCTCCCTCCCCCCCTCCTTCCTCCTCCTCCCGCCTTCCCTCCCACCCCTCCTCCTCCTTCTCCTCCTTCTCTCTCCTACCTCCTCCTCCTCCTCCTCCTCCTCCTCCTCCCTCACTCCACCCTCCCTCCTTCCCCCCTTCCCTCCCATCCTCCCTACGTAGAAGCCTCCAGAGCTTCGTTGAATTCCCTGGCGGCGGCCTCTGTTCCTTGGAGCCTCCCCGAACGTTCCGAGCGTGTGGGGCGAACCGCATGCAGGGGGGAGGAGGAAGAGGAGGAGGAGGAGGAGGAGGAGGAGGAGTAGGAGGAGGAGGAGGAGGAGGAGGAGGAGGAGGGGGAAGAGGAGGAGCAGGAGGAGCAGGGGGGAGGACGTGGAGGAGGAGGAGGAGGAGGAGGAGGAGGAGGAGGAGGAAGAAGAAGAAGCGGAAGAGGAACAGGAGGGGAGGTGGTGGAGGAGGAAGAGGAGAAGGAGGAGGAGGAGGAGGGGAAGGAGGAGGGAGGAGGAAAAGGGAGGAGAAGGGAGGAGGGGGAAGGAGGACGAGGAGGAGGCGAGCCCTGCGGCGGCGGCCTCTGAAGGCCCAACAAGGAGCCTCCAGGGGGGCCTCCCGGATGCATCTGAAAGCGGGGCAAGAAGCGCACTACACGCTCGAACCTCGAGCATCAAATCCTCGAGCCTAGAATCCTCAATCCTTGAGCACTCGAATCCTCCATCCTCGAGCACTCGAATCCTCAATCCTCGAACCCCTGAACCCCTGCCGCCCGGCCAGCAGCCGCGGGGGCTCGCAGGGGGAGGGCACTTCTGCAGCCAGGCCCAGTAGGGCGGGTAGTCCTGCGGAGCAACGGCCCAGTCGGTGCCGTGGGGGGCGAGCGGAAGGGGAGGGGGTGAGGGAGGGGACGGAAAGGGGAAAGGGAAGGAAGGGAGGAAGGGAGGGGAAGGTGAGGGAAGGGGAAGTGAGGGCGTCGAGCGGAGGAGGCCGAGGGGGGCTGTACGATCGCTGTTTTACGCATTGGTATCATGTTGACGCTGTCTCACCCAGCCTGCGCGGGAGAGCTCGGTAATACTACCCTGCACGCACTTCGATTATGCACTGGCACGGTGGGTGGGGGTTGCCAGCAGCTGGACGTGAATGAAGCTCGTGATAGAAGGGACTTGCTGGGGCGAGGGGAGAGGAATGGACGGCGAGGAGGAGGAGGAGGAGCGGGAGCAGAAAGAGGTGGAGAAGCAGGAAGGAGGAGGAGAAGCAGGAGGAAAGTTAGCAGGAGGGACAGCAGCAGCAGGGAAGAGACAGGGAGAAAAAGGGAGAGAAGAAGGCAGGTTGGAGGGGAGAAGAGGGGAGCAGGAGGCAGTGAGGGGAAACTCACGAAGGTTATGGGGGGCACCGTAGACCCACAGACCTATCCCCCTATCAACAAAAACAAAGCGTCCGGCAATAGACAAACCGCCCAGGCGGGTTTCGGCCTCCGGGGACAAGCGGCGCCGCCCGCGACCAGCTCCCATGCGGCACAGCAAGAAGGAGATGACGAAGAAGCAGACGACGACCGACGAGGAAGAGTAGTAAGACGACGAAGACGATATTCAGATATTTAAATGTTCGAAGATTCGCGGCAGACCTCTTGAATCGGCGCTGCAGCCCCCTCTCTGGCGCGCGGAGCGCGCCAGGGGCGGCGCCTCAGGCGCCGCCAGGGGGGTCCAACGCAAATGAAGCAAATCCGCGCGGATCTTCGAAACTTCATGCACTTTCCCTGGATGGCTCGTCTGGTAAGGGCTCGATACATCTCGTCCATCGTGATCGGCGAAGGAGCCCGGGCCCCCGAGATCGGTGGCCCATGGTGCTGCTTCGGCGTGGCCATCGCAAGGTGCAAGAAACCAGCCCTGCGCTGAGACGAGTTTCACCTGTAGGCTCGTCTATCCGCTAATGAGCCCCAGATGGCAGCAGAGCGCGAGCGATCTACAATTCAAACGCGGTGGCAATAAAATATGGCTCCAAATGTCCTTGTGACACTCTGCCCGCCCAACGCCTGATCAAGAAGAAGCGCCTCAGAAATCTATTAGGCTGCACGTGCTGTATCCGCGCGACCCGCTGCATCATGGTTTGGCGATCTAATGTGAGGAAACCCTCCAGCCAAACTTTCGCCTAAATATATATATATATATATAATAGATATATATATAATATATATAAAAACCCATCAACTCTGATGCATCTCGGCAGCCCGGACAACGTCGAACGATTCCGCTGGCGACTCCGTGGCGTCTACTGAAAAAATGTGAAAAAAAACAACAGAACAAAACAAAACAATAAGAAAAAAAAACGTGCGGTAGATGGCATAGACATATGGGAGAGAGCGTGATCCACCGCCGCTTTACTGTGGAAAAGTCCCCCCACTTCCTTCGGAACCCGAGGTCCCCGCCCCCGAAATCCCCCCCCCTGCGAACCCCCCTCTTTTCCCCGGCAAACTCCCCGTCCCTTAACCCCCCCCCCCCTCCGGAAAACCGGGATAGGGTCACTACCGTTCGAACACCCCCCCCCCTCCCCCCTCCCAAACCGGGGGATCACTCCATTCGAACCCCTCCCCCCCCCTTCCATAAAACAGAGGGGGGTCACTACTGGTTCGAACCCAACCCCCACCCCTCCAGAAAACCGAGAGGGGCTCACTACTGCTTCGAACCCCCCTCCCCCCCCCTAGAAAACCGGTAAGGGTCACTTCGGGTTCAAACATCCCCCCCCTCGAAAACGGGGGGGTGTAACCCCCCTCTCGAAAACCGGGGGGGTCACTACTGGTTCGAACCCCTCCCCCCCCCCCACGCTCACCGCCAGCAAACGAATCGTGGGCCCCTACCACCGTCCGCACCACATCCCCCACTGCTGTCCCCAGCACCACTGTCCTCACCACCACTAGCCCCACTGTTCCCACCACCGTCCTCACTGTCCCCACCAGTGCCCCCACCAATGCCGCACTGTCCCCACTGTCCCCACCACTGTTCCCACCACGGTTCCACTCTCCCCACTTTCTCTACGGCCCCAACCACTGTCCCACTGCCCCCACTGTCCCACTGTCCCGCTGTCCCCGCCGCTGTCCCACTGAGCTGTCCCACTGTTCCCACCGCAGTCCCCACTGTCCCCGCCAGTGTCCCCACTGTACCTCTGTCCCATTATCCCACCGCCGCCCTCGCCACCGCCCTCACCACTGTCCCCACCACCACTGTACCCTCCACTGCCCCACTGTTTCCACCACATTCCCGCTGTCCCCACACCAGTGTCCCCACCACCACCGTCCCCACTACTGTCCCACTGTCCCCACTGTTCCCACCATTGTCCCCGCTGTCCCCACCAGTGCCCCCACCAGTGTCTCACTGTCACCACTCTCCCCACCATTGTCCCACCACGGTCGCACTCTCCCCACTTTCCTCAAGGCTCCCACCACTGTCCCACTGTACCCACCACTGTCCCACTGTCCCCGCCGCTGTCCCACTGTGCTGTCCCACCGTCCCCACTGCCCCCATCACTGTCCCACTGTCCTGTTCTGTTCTGTTCTCTATGGAGACAGGTGTCAGTGCCACCTGCCCCTAACAACATACACAGCTTAGGACCCAATACCTTGATCAGCCCCAGCTGGCAAAACCAGGCCAAAAAAGGTGAGGAGCTGACCAGGTGTCCACTTCTCCTCCCACAGACCATCAATTAAACCACAAGCCTCAGGCTCAGCCCCCCCTGAAAGTTGGACCCCTTTGTGCGACGCACGGACCAGGGACACCAAATCCAACGGGGTGGGCGATCGGTGGCCTGTGACCGACCAACCCTTGTACTGCCGAGCCCAGCTGGGGAAGTCCCCTTTGGCGAACCTCGTCCTCTGTCGTCTGAGGTCCTTGGTGGGGGGGTGGCCTGGGCATCTATTGGCTAGCGAGGCCACACCAGCCCACGCATAGCCTCCGCAGCAGATGCATGACATCACCCACCCACTACCAGCAGCCCGACTCCCATCCCCCACGAAGACCTTTGCTTTGCAAAGGTTGTGTCCCTGGAGGCGGGACAGCAACGCAAGCTCAGACAACTGCTCAGTGCTGCCAGACTGCTCGGCCAAAGTGTCCGAGATGATTGGCACACGAAAGTCAACCCTTGGCCACCAGGGTGCCGAAAGCTGGCGCATGGCCCTGACCTGGCCTCGAATTCGTCCCTTATTACTACTGCTGGTGAAATCGTGCTCCGATTTCTCAGCCCCAGCGGACCCAGGGAAACCCGACGCGTCAGCCCAACCTCTATCGGCCATGATGACATCTTGAATCGCTCCCCATCGCACGATCTCTTTCTGGACCGAGCGGCAGGTGTCGATGGCCTGCACAAAAATCTCTGGCAAGGGATGCATTCCAGCCCCTTGCCTGGCAAACCTGTCCGCGTGCCTATTGCCGAGCCTCTCCAGGCCACTGCAAGCACCATTGAGAACGTCAGCCGACGTGGCGTGTCCTTTAACCTTTCTGGCCTTCAGACCATCCTCAAAAACATGCCAGACAAAGCTCCAGAGATGGGCCCTGGGATTCTGGGAAGAGCAGCTTTTGGCCCTATCCCAAACACACCCAAGAGTCCCAGAACAGTCGGTACAAATCTCGAAATCAGAAAACGGGTCAACAAGCTCGGCCGCCATCCTATAGGCATAGTCCTCGCCATCTCTGGCCTGCTGGCTGGGCGCTACTTCCCTAGGCACAGGACCGAAGGCGGCACACAAAATTTCCCGTTGGGGGTTCACTTGCACGAGGCTCCACCCCGCTCGCCTCCTAAACTCGCAGGTGGGGTGGACCGCGGACCCATCCGAGAAAATCAAGCCCTGGAGTTTACCAGAAGCGGGCTTGTTAAACCAACAGATAGAACATTCATCTCTACCTAGGGCCTGGGGAATCAGTTCTTTGGGGTAGGGTAGCACTCCTGCAGCGAACTTTTCCAGGTCCTGGTTCATGTCACGCGCATGGCGGGCGGCCATCAAGCATTGCTCCGAGAGGTGAACTCCTCTGTCCTCCAGGAAAGCCTCGCACCTGAAACGCCCGTGATATAGCGTTCCTCGTTCGGCACGGCAGAGCTGGCAGAGGTCCTCATCAGAAAGCCCACGGTCCTTAAGGCGAGCCTGTGTCCAGGTCCCCAGGGAGAAGGTGTTCCTGGCACACGCTTGGTGGTGCTTGGTCCAGGTCATCGAGGTTTTGCCCGACATCAGACTCTTGGCCCCCTCCCAATAGACAGGCCTACACCAAACAGCGCTGCACTTGGGGCGTTTCATGAGGGCCCTTTTGTCAGCCCAGTGTCCTGCATCACGTTCAGCCAGCATTATGACTGCCAGTGGCGCAAGCTCCAGCATGTCGATCATTTCTCCGTCACAGAGCCGCACCTTCCTGGCCGTGAGCGGTCTCCAACCCAGCTCAGCCGTAGTCAGTAGGTACACGTGCGCAGGCGACGTACAGACATGCCAAGGCCTTCTGGATCTCCAAAGGTCATCTGAAGCCTTCTCAAATACCTTCTGGATGATGTGGAGCCCAGGAGCCCCATCCCATACAGCACGACACCATTGATATATAACATTGCCATGGCAAATAACGTAAGGATCCATAGAGGCCCCCGCAGGAAACGACCGAAGTCTGAACGACATAAGAGCTCCAGCTTTATCTTTGCAAAGGCTCCTGGAAGCCGACAACCTCATATTATGCAGTTGTCTGGGAGTCAGCCCCGCCACAGCCGATCCCCAGAGCCCACATGCCTGAGGCCCCGACCTCTGAATATTCCCAACCAGAGCCCCAGCGTACTTAAGTCTCAAAATCCTAGCTGTTCTCCCCCCTGCCTTGGCCAGTCTTTTCCTGGCCGTGGGATTGCGCCGAATCCTCTGAGCAACTGCATCACATCCGAGCGACCTGACATACTGCTGCTGCTTGAAACCGAACTTGGCCCACTTGAGCGCCAGAGCACAGGCCAGCTGCTTTGAGGATGCTATGTACTTGGCTTTCTTGCCCGACAAAATCAACTTCAGCTCCTCAAAACCGCCCTTCATCACGATGGCAGCCCTCCCGAGCTGCTCACAAACAAAATCGGCGGTCCCTAGGGCCTGAATCGAAACATCATCAATCACATTGCGAATCGTCAGTGAAGGGAAGGCAGCAGTGACCGCCACCAGCAGTCTGTACAACACGACCTTGGCAAAGGTGGTGGCCAGACTGCATCCTGCTAGGATCGTGCCCATCGCCTCGATCAGGTTGGACACAGCGCCCTGGAAATTCAAAGCTCTAGCGCCAGTGCATAAGACAATGGCTGCACGCGCAAGCCCTAGATGCATGCCCGTAGCCTCCGCTTCGTCAAATAAAACCGCAGGCCCCACTCTTTCATAGAACTTATCTAGGTCCCCGAACCACGTGCCCGTATCAAAAGTCTGGATGCGGGCAAACTCGTTTAGCATGGCATGTTGCCACCCTGCTCTGTCACACTCCTTGTCTCTAGCTCCCCAGAAGAAATTCGCCGAGTGTTCCAACTCCCAAGAACGAGCCACCACCTGACGCACTTTCGCCCAGACCCTGAGTACGCTGACAATAAGCGCTAATGGGCGCAATCCAGCACCGTCAGGTTTGCCCTGGAATATGATTTGGGTGGCATATTTCCTAGGAAGAGACGGCTTTTTCTCCCATAGCATCATGAGGTCGATCAGACGCTCCAGGAAGTCCAGGGGCAACAACAACCAGCACCTAGGGTTCATGCAATCCACACCTAACCCCGTTTCATGCTTGAACTTACTAAGCGCCCACTTCAATATCTCAATGTCTGGCCGAGACAGCGGGGGAGCCTCGTCTGCGCGGCGGTGGTGCTGGGCTGTAAGCGGGCACTGATGACTGCACCAGTACTGGCTCCACTCGGACTTCAAGGCCTCGACAGCTCGGTCCCCTTGCAGCGCCCAGCCCTGCGGAGAAAGCGGGCCAACTGCAGGAGATCGCTCCTTAGAAAAAGCATGCGCCGCCTTGCCGCCCTTAGCAACTGCCCCCTGAGCCCAAGACCTCCACTTAGACCACTTCCTGCTACAGTGCTCCCTGAACATGTGTTCGTAGGTGGATTGTGCAGTAGGAGTAAGGTACCCCAAGACCGGACCCGTCCGAGTCCTCAATGATCCCAATCAGCTGGGGCAGGCTAAGGGCAAGGCACAAAAACTTGGGCCCGAGAGACTTCTGGTCCAGCTTCAGGAGGCCAGAGCGCAGCGTCTGCCAATACTCGGAGTTGGACAGGTCGTCCAGGCAGGCCGTCGCTTTGACCAGTAACGTAACAAGAGTGCGCCATGCTCTGAGCTGAGCCGTGGTGTTCGCAAACCATTTCTTTTTGATAATCGAGTCCAGGGAAACCTGTTTTCTCCTGAATCCAGAGGAACGACCAACATACAGCTCCTGCTCAGCCCCTTGGATGTCAAAAACACGGCACAGCTCCAGCTCAGTAAAATCCACCCACTGATCCCAAACGCGCATAAGCTCCATGTCTCCCGTGTCCCCAGTTTGACACGACCAGTTGTAGGTGGCGGGCTCCCTTTCACACCCCTCGGGCATCTGGGTCGGAAATCGCTTCCAAACACAACGCACGCGCATGGGAATGTCCAGCGAAGCCCCCACAAGCGATATTTCAACAGGGGAATGGGGCGACACTGGAGCATCATTCCAAACCTGCACCCTCTCAACGCACGAGCAGAGCCCAGCCGATAAGATAAAGTAGTCATACACCTGTCCCTTACCCGCAGCACAGGTCTTCGTCGATGGAGCCACAATGGTAGCCCCTAGCTCGGAGCACCAGGAAATCAAACCCAGGGTCTGGGGCCCCATGTTAGCATCACAGCCCAGGATCCAAGGTAACGCGAGGCTCCCAAGAAACTTGCCAAGCCCAGCGAGGAGACCCACGTTGTCCCTGCTGACTCCCTGGGAGTGGTAAAAATAAACTGACAACCACACACAACCTCCAGGAACAACACCGTTGACGTGTCTAGCAATCACTCGACCCTGTGCTTCAGGTACGGATTTCAGACTGTCCAGTGATACAGTGCACTGGTTGATATGCGCGAGGCCCCCAGCCATCACACCAGCAGAGGTCTCTAATGTACCAGATCCTGTTGGCACTGCGGGGCAGAAGTCGACGTTGAGGCCCTTCATCCTCATCGAGCCTTTGAACTTAGCAATCTGAGCGGCCTCCAAAACTCGAGTCTCCTGCCCAGCCCAAAACTGAGGCCTCGGGCCCCTCACATCCCCCATGCGCCAGTCCAGGACAGTTTCCCAAGAAGCCCAGGAGTTAGCATTGCAGGAGAAAAACAACCAACAGTTCCTCCTGTCTCTGGCTTTCTTGCCCTTCCTGATCCTAGTACAACTCGGGGAGGAGGAAGCGCCAGCTGACTTCGCCGACAATGACAGAGGCGGCGCCGTAGGTGCAGCGGCTGAAACTTGCGCCACACACTTTGCATCCTGTCTAACATGCCGTGAGACATTCGCCTCCCCGACCTGGCCACTGAGACGCTCCCCCGATTTAAGGCCTAGGCCACCTGCATGGCTCGGGGGGTCTGCAGGCGCCAGGTCTGCCGACGAACCCGTACACCCAGAAGTCGATCCAGAACTCCATGGACCTGATGACCAAGTACTACCCACGCTTCCGCCTCTTGGCTGCGGCCGCCTGGAGCTGAGACTGTAGCTTGCGCCTAGCCTCTCGGAGGACCTCACGTGCTTCATTGACACTGTCACCTTCAGCCGATGCCGCCCGCTCCTTGACTTGTCGTAGAGCCTCGGCAGCCTGTGCGAGGGACAGCTCGTCGGCTTCATCGATCTCCATGTCATCCCCATCATCGCCATCTTCCCCTGGCACACAGGAGGAGGGACAGCGCCGTTGCGAGCAGCGACCGCTTGAGCCTCCAGCATGCCGAACAGCGCCTCGAGGTGCTTGGCGGCTTTCTCGTCACCTTTCTGCCCTCTGAACCACTCCCGAAACTCCGCTGAGGCCGACCCCAGCTGCTGCTCCTCCAGCTTGAGGACAGGTCCGTCCGACTTGGCCAGCGACCTGGCGAAGCACTCCTTGGCCTCCTGCTCGAGGGCCGCGACCTGCCTCCTCGCCTCCACCAGGGACTCATTGGCGGACTTGAGGCGCTCCTCGAGCATCTTGCGCGCCTCCTCCACCTCTTCGTGACCGTGGCCAGCTTCGTCTCGAGCGTGGCTGCCGTGGTGCGCGCCTTCTCGAGCCTGGTGGTGATGCTATGCTGCTGGACATGCGGGGGCTTCGCATCATTGATGGCCTTATGAATCTTGGCTGCCATCTCCTCCGCCAGCAGCTTGTCTTCTTGATGGACTGCATTACGAGCCGCCCTCTGCCAGTGAGCGAGCCTCTCCTTGGACTCCTTCTGGTCGTCGGGCTGGGGCAAACCTCCTGAGCTGTCATCCTCAGTC